GCTGGGCAGGCACGGCCGGCTGTGCCGGGTGCGGCGCCGGTGGGGGAATGACAGGACCCAGACGATCCGCGATGCGATCGTCCACCATCTGGTGCATGGCGTTGAAAACTTCTGTCACCGTCCTCATGAGATCCTGCACCGACCTCTCGAGCTCCTGGATCCTGCCATCCTGGGATGCCCCCCAGTCTGGCTGCTCTTCCCGCTTGTCTCGTCCGGTCGCTCTCTCCTCCGGCCAAAACTCATCCTCCCCTCGATAAGCCACAGCCGGGCAACTCCGGGGTCTTTCAGGATAAGATCCCGGTTCAAAAAGGCTTTCTCGGGGCCCACTGCCCCGATGAACAAACGTTTCCCTGGTGCCTTGGGTATCGAACATAGTCCAATCCTCTGAGGCTTTGACCTCTTGTTTTCCCCACTGCGATGGGGTAGGAGGAGGCCAAGGAATAGTCTCATGCCTCGGGATCGCTCCCCCAACGGCACCTCGGGCTTCCATGAAGTCCGATGGTAAGGCAGTGGCCGGGACGGCACCTCGGTCCTCTGCCCAGAAAAAGGATTTCCCTTCGGCCCCGCTCATGATCGATGTCAGACTCGGGGTGAGGGGGAAAGTGGATTCTGGACAAAATTTCAGATCCCAAAGCAGGAGAACAAACCCACGTTCCAAAGAAGTAAGATTTATTTCCAAAGCATGGTTGATCATGAACATACAGAGAATTGTCCAGAATGACTACAATACACAGGGGCAATATAATATAGGAACTTCAAACTTGGTTAACCCAATGGGCTCAATTCCCTCGCAAGGGAGTTGATTAGAAAAGGCGCGTAGCAGCCTGAGAACTCTAACGGCCCATACCATAAACACAAGTGTAGTTCACACGGGAATCTAATTAAGCAAGGCAAGAAGACATAACACGCCGTCGTCCACCTGTAGGAGAAGCTTGGCAGTTACAGTCGCATACCAGAAGAGAATAACACGGGGAGGGAGGGAAGAGGGACACGTCCCAGAGGAATGGCAGCTCGCTGACAGATATTGATACTCCTGGCCTCTGGGCGATCGGGATCGATGGTGTCGAGAGCTCGGTGCCGATCAATCACTCTCCCAGGAAATCACTGACTGGGAACTATGTCTACGAGGCCGATGTGGGACCATTTCCTCGACTTCAAACAGCGAGGCCGAAATTGGTCCGGAGTCAACAGAAGCCTCCAATACCGGGGGGTTCAGGTGCCGGATTGGTGAGTCCAGTAACTCAATTGTAGGCAACTCCGGTACCGGAGTATCAACGACGTCAGGTTGCGCCTGCTGGAGAGGGGGTAATGCAGAGCCCATTTGCACATTATCGCTGCTCATATTCTGAGACTTACGCATAGTGCTAGTGAGAGAAGACTTAGCTTTCTCGTGCTTCTCTTTTTTCTTCTTTTTGGCTGGCGTAGAGGCGGAGGAGGCCTCGTTCGACACCAAGCATTTAGAAGACTGTCCCCCATCCGATGCAGACTTTGCATGGTGTGGGGGGTTCAGTGCCAAGGTGTCTCCCAATGTCGACTTGGTTATCGTCGATAGGGAGATTGAAGGTGTCTCGGCCGACATGTTTCCCACAGGCATGGGGGTTAATGTTGATTCCCAAAGCGCTACTTGAAGTTTCACGGCTCTGTTCTTGTGAGTTTGGTTTGAGAACTTCACACAATGGCGGCAAGCATCTGGGCGATGAGTCTCCCCAAGGCAAATAATGCAGAGTGTGTGGCCGTCACAAGGGGCAAGTTTACTGCCACAGCCAACACACAGTTTGAAACAGCCCCCTCTTATGGCCATAAAAGAGTAAAAATCGTCCAAAAGAAAAGAAAAAGTCCTTTGCTGAGGTGAAGAATTTTTTTTACCTCAGGTGTGTGTGGGGGAGGCGGGAAGCCGCCTGAGGCAGCGGCAACCCACAACGAAAAGTGTCTCTCTCTCTCTTCTTTTCTTTTTTGTAGATAATAAAGAAGAAAATAAAATAAACGCTGTAAGCGAAGAAAAATACGATTTGGAGTATCCCTCGTGAGAGGGAAAAACGCTTCTTCACCGATCGGCAGAAAACAAGCTGTTAACAGCGCGGCGGTCAGAAGAGAAGTGGCAGGATGTCCGTGCCCCTCCCCCTCCCCCTTGGGCATGCGCAGTGGGATTCTTGCACATGCCTGGAGGAGAAGCGCGAAAATCCCTTTGTGAGCTTTGCATACTACCGATTCGGATCAGCGCAGGCGCATAATCCCATGGGTGTGATACACAGAGACCACGAAGAAGATCAAATAATTCTTAATGAAAGATCTCAACATGTAGCAATACATTATGAGAAACTATAGTCAGCTATATAATTGTAAAAAACCTCAAGGGAAAGAACTTTATGTTGCTTGGAAAGGTCTGCGAGATTCTCAATAGGAATAACACACCAACTTTGTCTGAGAGCCTATTAAAGGGAAAATGTCATTAAAACTTACACACAGCAGCGAGTCACAAAGAATCAGTTTATACCTCCAAATTTATCCACATGACTTGGTTATGAACACTATACATTCAGGGAGCTGGCAGTCAATTCCACAATCTGCACTTTTTGAAGCAGCTGCTATCAAGGTGTATTAGTAGTTTGGGGTAGTAGTAGAGCATTTGCTTGGCGTGCAGCGGGTCCCAAGTACAACTGGCATCTCTAGGTAAAAGCATCTAGATGTGGTTATGTATAAGACTCCATCTGAGACCCCTTGAAGAGCCATGTCAGTCAGAGTACACAACAGTGACCTTGATATATCAGTGGTCTTATTCAGTATAAGGCAACTTCCTGCGTTCATGTGTAATCTTAAACGTACACCTTTCCCCATGTGGCTGTGTACCTTGTACATGATCAAATTGGATAATTAATCAAATTAATCATTAATCATATGAGAGTCACTGTCTACCTAATGATTTTCATGAAGATATGAATTCTTCTTCCAGACATCCGTGACTCTGAATAAAATGTTTAATGACTATCTTGACATGTATAATTTACAAAGACATGTATCAAATTCAAGAATCCTAAGTGGAATTCAGTGATCTACACTGCTTTATTTAGAAAGACCTATACTAGAATGAGTAAACAGTGATAAGATTGCCACAGAAATAGAAACTGAAGCAGCGTGTCACCTGGTGTGAGCATTGTCAAGTCATATTTTCTTAGTAGTTGGAGGACAAGTTTTTTATTTTAAATTTGCATGAAGCAACACAAAAGAAATCACCTTACAGAAAGACTAAAATTGTCAGTCCACTTATCCACTAGTCTTGAAGAATTCCTCTTGACTTCAAATGAAGCTAAAATAATGAATTAAGCTGATGGAAGACTGAGCCGCAAAACATTTAGAGTACTTTTAATGTATTTCTATAGCCATCATTCTTTATTAACTCAAGAAAATTATGTTTTATCATTGGTCCATGAAGACCAGGCAATAAAGGTGCAATTTCATGGTGGTGAAGTGGAATATCAATCTGCCTCCAATTCACGTTTTGCTATTTGCTAACGCTTCGATTTCAGCAAACTGCAAGTTCAGTGTAAGGTCATGCATTCAAAGTATTCAGAGACAGAAAATGGCTTTGTCATTAGAAGGGTTAAATAAACAACATTACTCACCACTTGGCCAACTGCAACTCGTTCCAGAGCCTTTAAAGATTAAAAAAACAAAAACTGATGTGTTTATTCTTGTAGCTGAACATTTTATAAACAGGCTACATAGAAGAAAAATAACATATTAACAGATAATGTGATAAAAATTAGAATGTCGGCTTAAAAGTGTTATCACTTTTTTAACTGTAGGAGTTAAAACTATAATGAAACATATACATACTTATTTTTGCAAACATTTGAGATTATATGACGCTGTAAAAATTTTTAAAAATCTGATCTACAATACATTAAATAAATGTTTAGATTTCAATAATTTTTTTAGTTTCTATTAATAAAGTATAAGGGGGGAGAAGTGTAAAAAAAGAAAAAGTTAAAATTGTAAAAACGGTAATAGACTATTAGTTATGCTTTCAAAGTATGACATGAAAATTACCAAAAACTTCCTGTAGAACAATGACAAACACTGCCACATTTTAACACATAATTTCAATAAAAAAGAAGGTTCTCCAAATGCCTCTAGACTATGCATTGTAATCTAAAACCTAACCTTTTCATTTTGTCATACCTGAGGCAAATACGGGCTTATTTATTTAAAATATTTCTGCACTGCTTTCCCCAGTCTTCAAAGTTGCTTCCCTCACAATTAAGGTATTATACATAAAATAAGTTATTTAAAACAAATAAACAGAGGCATTAAAATTTCAGCTATTTTATATGCTAGAACTTGAGGAAGTACAATTCAAAAGAAAACCATAAATTGTAATGTAAATCATAATCAAAATTATTAACAACAACACCACAATCAAAAACTGTATGAAACAACCTGTTGCCTCAACAGAGAAGCAGAAGGTATCTGGTGAACCTCAAGAGGTGGAGAATTCCATTTGAGTCTTAACCATTGAGAAAGCCTTAGCCTATTTACCAACTTCCTCACTCAGGAAGCAGAGGCACCTGGAGAAGGGCCTCCAAGGGGGATCTTAAATCGACAGGCAGGTATACAGGGGAGTAGCGATTCCTTTAAGTACTCTACACACAAATCGTGTAATACTTTAAAGGGCAAAACTCACACTCTGAATAGAGTCCAGAAACAATTTGTTACCAATGTCTTTGAGGGAGGGCGATATTAACAGACTCTTCCATCCCAATTTGATGGGTAACAATAATATCCGTAAAACAATATCTATAAAATTAAACTGTTAAAATGATTCTGGCAAAACTACTGACAGCTAATAAGATGGCACATGAAAGGGGAGCACAACCTGGTGCCCCTTATCCAGAGGGGGAGAGGCAGGGGGAAAAGGGAGAAGAGGGAGGTCAGTCTACAATAGAAACCTTCGCTGTCCTCAACCATAAGCCTGGCGGAACATCTCTGTCTTACAGGCTCTGTGGAACTGCACCAAATCCCACAGAGTCTGGATCTCACTTGGCAGAGTGTTCCACCAGGTAGGAGCCAGAGCTGAAAAAGCCCTGGTTCTGGTTGAGGACAGCGGGATACTTTTCAGGCCAGGGATCACCTGTAAACTGTTATCCATTAAGCATAATGCAGTGTAAAAACATCACACCACATGGTATACAGCAGTATCTATGCCAGTATAGGCAGGTTGTTTACATACAGCGACCGTAATTTTACACAGGACATAGGCAAACATACGGAAATGTAGCTTCCCAAAGTAAGCTCCCAGTAAATAACGGGTACATGAAAAAATGCACAGCAGTGTGATGGGAGAAGAAAAAGAGCTGTAGTCCACCATTAACCTACCGAAGAAAGGGGCTAGGGTGCAGGAAAAACAGGAATCTGTTTGAAAGTGCTTGAAGCGGAAGGGATTATGGAGGCTGAGGCAGAGAACGAAGAAGTCAAAGGGGCAAAGACTGAGGGAAACAGGTATATAAGAAGATCAGAAAAGGATTAAGGAAGCATTTGGTTTAGAGCAAAGATGTGTTCTGGCGTTGGGATAGCACTGCATCCAGAAGCAGTGGAGCAGCTCTAATACTCTGCTCTCCGTAACAGTTGGCAGACACGGCTACCCCCTTTGATTCTGCCTACCCCTTTTGATTCATAGCTAGCATCTGTGCAAATATGAGAAGGCACATAAGTCTGAGACTACGGGGAAGTGGGAAGGGGGGCAAAGATGATAAATAGTTAACATACTGGTCATCTAATGCAATGGAAATCTGAGTGCACATTTTGCCATCCCACTATGTGTTGGCAGCGTGAGTTAAATATCCCAATGAAGGACTGTTCTGGGTTTGTAGTCAGAAGGCTGCTGTATTTGCTGAGCGCAGTTAAGATGCCCCGGACAAGACTAGCAAAGTCAGTGATGATGCTAGCGCTATCATATATTCCTTTCCTGCACACAACTGCAAAGACCTTCTGTCCATCTTTCAAGTTCAACGCAATACAGTTGTACCTAAATTTTCATCCATGTCTACTGTTCTCCTTACATAAAATGTGTCAATATATTTTCCATTACAATATATTTCCTGATAATTTATCATGAATATATCAATAATGACATTCTGCACAGCTCTAGTTTTGCAAGCCAAGAACAGTTAATTCCATAAAATGTGAATGAAACTCTAAGTATGAAACTTTAAAAACACAATACAAAAACACTGTACCAAACAGGCTGCCATTCTGGCATTACGACCACAGAAGGAAGCATTTTCCTTCAAGTACTGGCACATGGGAAAACCCCAGGTTCCTTGAATGTCACCTGCAGAGGAGAGAGGAACAGTGCATTACTTTTTTTCAAAAAAGAGAGCAAGTGAGAGAGCAAATGTACAACTGGGAAAACGTTACAATAAGGACATTGCAAGAGATGTATTAAATGGTATTTAGTCTTAACAACAGACATCAGAAGTATGAAAAAGATAATTTAACTGATTAAAAACGGTTTGTCTGGGGGCCTGTGTTTAAAAATTATTTGTCAAGCTTAGCTATTATTTCAGCACTAAATGAAATCCCTTGTGCAACAGGATGCTAAAACCAGTTACACCAGCAGCACTATACAGCATAAACATTTATAGGGAGATTTCAGAAGACTAGCCTAGAATAATTGCTGCTTGTTTAATATATTTGCTATTTTTTAAAATATTTAGCGCTTAAGTGCAAACTTTCAAACTGTCATCAAACATTGCTGGAGGCAGTGTAAGGATAAACCATGTTGACGGGCCCAATACTTGTAAGTAAGTTTGTTCACATGAATGCATATTTTTACAGTTTTCCCAATATATTAAGCCCTACCCTGCCTCTTGCCTAAATTGTGGTAATATCCCCTTCTTTCCTTGTCATCCTTCAGCCCTTCTTCCAAGCTACTAACATCACCATACAGATGTGGTCAGGGGACAAGGTGCAAACACCTCAACCCTTGGGAGAGAAGCAGCACCTCATGAACCAGGATTCCTTCTTGTTCTCTCAATCTCTCCCTTATATAATTGAATAGTGGGTGCCAAAATTCTAAAATGCGCCCCGTTAGTGTATGGGCAGAAATATTGCCACTCAGAAGACGCTGCCTCCGATGACTGGCTCCCTCAGGGAACCTGGCCTGCCATTGGCTGGTTGGCTGGGAGGGGAGGGAGCCAGTCATCGCAGCCAGCGTCTTCACTAACGGGACGCATTCAGTCCAGCCGACGGAGCCGGTAGGGTCCGCCAGCTTCCCCCCTCCCCGCGCCCACTCCAAAACGGCGAACGGGGCATAGAGGCTGCGATCGGGACATCCCCCCCAACGCCCGCGCCCACTCAGGCCACGATCGCCGCCTCTAGGCTGCGATCGGGCCTCCCCCCCCGCGGTTACCCAGGCCCCGATCGCAGCCT